AGGCTGTTGCGGGCGTCCCGCTTTCTCGAGGCTTCCGCGTATCTTGCGCCTTCCGCCGCCGTCACTAAGGGGACTGGAGGAGGGAACCGCGGGGGGAAGAGGAGGGGATGGGGTTTCCAGAGCCTGCCTTTCCCTCCCCACCACCCTGTCTTCGCTCATGGGGTTCACTGGGAGGCAACACCCGAGCAATGTCTGCTTGAGACTGGAATGCTCAGCTGTATAAAGGAGAATGTTCTAAGAAGTCGTGCTTCCTTTCTGCTAGTATCCACTGTATGTTTGAAGGCCCATCTAGCCAGACAGCCTGTCTCAAACACCAGTAGCAAGGGACTAGGGAAGAAATAACCTCTTGCAGTCAATCAGCCCTTTATAAGCCTCCTGACCAGGGAGTCACCCATCATGTTTAATAGCATCCATGAGCCTGCCCTCCGTAAAGGAACTGGAAAAATATTTTTTTGTGCTTTTAAACTTTGTGCCTTCTTGGGCAGGATGTTCCACTTTTTAATTACATACTGTCTGAAACAGTATTACCTTTTTGTCTCAAGCCCAGTGCCTGATTCTTGCATTGTGAGGGAAAATAAGCGTCCCTATTCACTTTCTCTGCAAAATTTTATACACTGTTAAGATACTTCACTTCAGTAGTCTCCTTTCTGGACTGAAAAGTCTGCCTTTTTTCTTCCTCTATTAAAGCCACTCCATAATGTTCTCCTTGTTGAATTTCTTTAGTTTTTCTAACTCCTACACTAATACTACTGCACGACCAGAATTTCATGTAGTGATTAAGCTATAGGTGTACAATGGGTTTAGGGATTATATGGAATTATGATGACTGGTTTGTTTTCTGCTCCTTTCCCAATACCTTCTGATCATTCTGTTTGGCTTTTGGCCTCTCCTGAGCTACAGTGTCTCTTAAAAGCCTGTTCCTGAGTGGCAAAAGATAATAGGTAACTACTGTGTATAGGTGTTAGGATTAGCTTCCCTATACACACTGCTTCGCACTTACCAAACTGATTTTTTCGGTCATTTTATAATTTATTTCTGAAATAAGTCAGCGACCTTTCTCAGTCTGCTTTCCAGTTGCTTATCCTGAATATGTTTGCACCATCTGCAGATTTTGTCAACATTATGTTCACTGCCGTTTGCAGCCTTTTTGTAGATGTTGAACAGTCAGATCCCAAGGAATCCTGCTGGTGACTTCTTCCTTTAGAAAACTGTAAAACTATTTCTTAATCCTTGTTTCCTACCTTTAATTTATTATTAATCTATAAAATGCTATTCATTTTTATCAACAGGAGAGAAAAGTACAGAGAGAAGAGGATTCAGAACAGAATAGTGGTCATGGACACTGATAGTCTGTAAATCATCAAATGAGTGGGGCCTGATTGCCAGGTTGGAAAGAATGGGCTTTAAAATCTATGCTCACATACTGATGTGGAGCAATGTTTTTGTTCAAGTCTGTTAACATCTATCAAGTTTTGTAGTAAAACATTAGAACATGGAAAATGCAGTATGTAATATATAGAAATATATATCTGCCTAGAACCGATACAGAAGATAGGGAAAAAAAAAAATCTAAAAGAAGCACGTTACCAATTTGTGACCAAATTCTGAAGAGACAATTTAAAAAAAAATTATCTTGTCACATGCACTTTTTAGCCTTTTTCCTGAGAAGAGAAAAGGTATGTAATTATGCTACCTGAACAAGCATTTGTCTTTCTGACTGCCTGGCATAATTTCTCCAGGTAATTTTAGAACTCGTGATGAATTTCAACCAAATTTAACAGGAGGTTACAGGTTATTACATTACTGCAAATTACATGAAAACAGGTGGCAACACAGAGCAGGATTTTCAGTGGGAGGAAAACTCCAGTGTGCATGCAGTTCATACTGGGAGTCTAACCTACTGGGAAAGTTGAGTCAGAACTCTCCTGCTCATCGAAATATTTGTTATAATCTTATTTGGATAGTTAGTGAAATTTGTAAATGTGTTCATTCTGCATACCTCAGCATGGGGAAAGCTACCACCTATCTACAGAAAATTAAATATTTCCCTATTCTCTTACGAACCAGACTCAAAGCCCTTTCAAGATACTGATGCTCTAGATGCAGGATAAACTAAATTAATTTTGTAACAAAAGCATTCCATTTATTTGCTGAATGTCATTATTCACATTGTCTCTCAGCTGCTCATAGTGATGGTAGCTAACAACTTCTCAACAAAGAGAATACAGAAAATGTGCTTTTTGAGAGTAAAGCAAATGACCAAAGAGAGAGTTTATGAGAATCCTAAATACAGATTCATGCCCTGCGTCCCTGGAAATTAGCCCCAATTATGGATAAAAAGAGGGATAAATTAACAAAGAGTATTGTTATTGTTGCCATACATGTATTACTGTGACATCAAAAAAAACCCCACCATATTTAAAACTACCACATAAATGCAGGCAGTATTTCCCGTTATCACAAGTGGAAGTTAAACTTGTGTGAACATTGCTTTTACATTATTGCATTTATTTGTACAAGTAGTTCCTATTTATCATTAGTAGAAATTGGCTATGTAGTAAAACCTTCTATGTTGACATTTCCTTGACTTACTGAGTGAGCAATGTCCATTCTGACGAAATGTAGTTTTCTGCAATGTATTTAGCCCCACATCTAACAAATTTTATTTTGCAGCTTTTGTCTTAAAACTCTGAAAAATGCATTTTAATAATGTTATATGAATATTTTACTAAGCCTTTACAGGCAAAAAGTACTATTATAAATAAATCGTTTGCCTCAACTCAGTTGAGCCAAGCCTTTTCTTAGGATTTAGTGAAGAACCTGACCAAAACACCTCTTGATGTCTAGAATAAAGTTACCTGAAACACTCAGCATTGTTTCTTCAGTTCTATCCTAATAACAGCAAACCATCAAGCCTTTTACAATATGGACAAAAAATACAGCAGCTGTATACAACAAGAGTTCCTTGTTAATAAGAAGGAACGAACTAACCAACTAGAAGAACTAACAAGTTCCTTACTTAAGAACACCTTGGTCCGCTTTTTACATTGTATCTACCTATTTAACATATTAAAGTCTGGTATAGTTAATATTTTTATTAATAATCCATTTTAAGGATTTTTCTTCTGTGATAAGGATTTTTCTTCTTTGGAAAGCCTTACAGTGAGTAATGTACTGAACTGCCTAGGCAGATGTGAGAGTAAATAGTTTTCAGTAGATTTGGGACTTGAGTTCTTTTTGTATATTTTGACAAAAATCATAACATTATATTTAGGGACAAAAACCACCCTCTCATCAGGTCCATAAGATTTTCCTTACTACAATAAAATTGTAGTAGATATTTGTGAATCTGACTTTTGTGAAATGGATGCCATATGAAGCAGTAATTCAGGGCCCCTCACCAGGGCCTGAAAGGCCACAGCAGGCCAGTTTGGTTCTTGGCCTCACACGCTCACATTTTGCTCTGTCATGCTCTCCACACCCTAACTTTACAGCCTGTGATATCATGCCTCTCATGTCTTTCATATTATCTCTTTCTTCTCCACACTTTCTACTTCCTCTATAGTAAATCCTGTAGTTAGTTCTTCCTTCCACTCTGATGATCGAGGAGCTCCTGCTAGGAGTAGGTTCATCTCTCTGTAAGATACCAAGAGACCATCCTCTTTACAAAGGAGGGTTTGTTCTCACATGCAAACACTTACAGAACAAGCCTTATAGTACAGCACAATAAACGGTGTAATTTAAAGCATACACAGTGGGTACCTTGAATAAAAGCATCAGAAATAAAGGCAACCATTTTGAGTAAGGAAGGGCTCCATTGCACTCTTAAAGAAATAAGCATCCCTAAAATATTGTAAAATTTTGTAAGACTGTAAGAATAAGGTTGCATTAGGGAGGACACAAAATGAATTCTGACCAGAGAGCTAGAGAGACAATTGGATGTATTTACGTGCACCTTCTTTGGCTTGCCTGAACGACCCCTACAGGATGGATTAGCAGGCTTCCGCCTGTGTGCTCCACCAGCCTTTCCAAACCTCGTTGACGTACCGAGTGCTGCCAGCCAGCATCATGTGATGATGCAGTTGTATCATGACAAGAACGCTTATGTAGCTTACTCTAATAAGAAAATACATGGTTTTAATATGACACATTTAGCATGTTCCAACAGTGAGAGGAACTGGGCAAATGTAAAAGAAAGATGCTATAGCTTTATCTCCCTGCAGTGAGACCTACGGAGCACAACAGGGTTTCCAGTAACACAGGTTTCTGTTCTGATGGCATGCCAAGTTTCCAGCCTTTCTCTACATTTTCCCAGCCCCTTCTCAGGTTTCTTTCACTAAGAAATCCTTTTGTCTATGCCAACGCTACGCAGATGTATTGAGATATACTGAGTAATTTTACCAAGGGCTAATTTTTTATTGAGACCTGCTCAGCAGGCAGAAATGCGAGAGCTCCGGTTTCAACTCTGCCAGGTGCGGCACACTGCCGCCGGGCTGTAACCTCAGCACTGTCCCACGGCTGGCCTTGCCAGGAGAACACTGCGGAAGAGATGATCTCCTGCAGGAGCATAGCATGTTTGGGACTTTAATGATGCCTGATAAGGTCCCCGTAGCTATTTTATTTCCTCTTTCTACCCTGCTGTCAGGGTGCTGTGTGGGCTGGCAGCTCCCTGGGGGTCAGGAGCAGGGCACCAGGGGCAGCCCC